GAATTGCATGCATAACAAGTCACTATCCTGTGCAAAAGCTTCTGCTTCTCTTTGTTTCTTTACTCTGTTTTTGAGTGATAAGAGGAAACCACCCAGATAGGATGCATGACCTGAGGAGGTTTTACAACAATATTTCAGCAACCAGTTCTCTGTTCTAAACTGCTGATTAGAGATGCAAGAAAAATGACCACCACCCATCAAACACACTCATTTTTATTCTGGGTTAAAAAAACCCCAACAAACAAGTGATCAAGCAAACCAAATAAAATTATAACAATAAATGCTTAACTGGGGAACAAAAAATTAAGTCAACCCTTAATTATCTTGCTAAATTGAGATAAAGACAGCATGGATTATCAGATTACCAAATTATCAGATTAATTAAAAAAACCTTCTTTTTAGTCTTCCTTTGCATTGTTCTTCCCCCACTTTGTGGAATTTCCTGGTTAAGTGAATTCAAGAGCCAAATTAGACAGACAGGATATTAGAATATTAAAAAATTTTAAAAAAAAAGAAGAGTTCTTTCAGGTAAATGATTGGTGGTAATTTATCACAAAGCTTATTGAGTTTGTGGTATAAAGAACGGGCTAAAAGTATTAAGGCCCAAGAGGACATCTAACTTGATTATGTTGCCAGAATGGTACTAGATTTTGAGGTGAGTGAGATTTTATTTAATACCACTGAAAGCCAGCCTGTGGTAGTGAAAAATTCTTATCCATAAAAGTGGGGGGGCTGAGCTAAATGATCACTAAAGTCTTTTTCAGCTCTCTGTCTATAGTCCAATGATCAATGGACTCAAAGACAGAACACCTGGGTTGGAGTTCCTGTTCTTATACTTACTGGACAACCCCTCTGAACTTCAACTCCTTCCTTTGTAAACTAGATGTAATAATACTTATAATACTTACCCGGCCCTTCTGCAAAAAGAACTTTCTGAACCAATGTTCTTAATTTTCTTTTGTGTCATGGCACCTTCGGCAGCCTGGTGAAGTCTATAGACACCTTCTCAGAACAATGTTTCTAGATGCATAAAATAAAATGGGAAGGAATACAAAGGAAAGCAAGTATATTGAAATATAGTGAGAAAATAATTCCTAAAATTAGTAGATCCCTTGAGGACCCCAGGTTAAGAACCCCTGCTCTATACTGTAATCTGAGACCCTGGGCAAGTCACTCACTGATAATAATATCAGTCGATGAAACAGATAGCACAAAATGATGAGATGATTATAGTGTTGAGAAAATAAGATAATTTAAAGTTAAAGGTTAGGGTTAGAATTATAAATGGAAGATTACTTTGTGATTTTTTTCTTTTTGATTTTCTTTAATTTTCAGTTCCAAACTTTCTCCCTCCTCCTCCCTTTCCCTCACCCACTGAGAAGGCAAGAAAAACAAAGCCCGTTATAAATACAAATAGTCATACAAAACAAATTCCCACGTTGGAATTTAGATTTAGAATTCCCACTTGTCCCCCAAGAAAGAGAAAGAAAGAAAAAAATAAGGAAGAGAGAAAGAATGAAATTGCTCTTTGATCAGCTTTGGTCTGCTGAGTTCATCCGCTCTATCTCTGGAGATGGATAGTATGTTTCACCATGAATCCTTTGGAATTTTGGTGGGTCATTACACAAATAAGAATTTCTAAGTCTTCCAAGGTTTATTATTCTAAAAATATTTTTGTTGTTTTTTGGTTGTATCCAACTCTCCATGACCCCATTTGGGAAATATACTAGAGTGGTTTGCCATTTCCTTCTCCAGCTCATTTTACAGATGAGAAAACTGAGGCAAACAGAGTTAAGCAATTTGCCCAGGGTCACACAGCTAATAAGTGTCTGAGGCCAGATTTGAACCCAGGCCTAACTCTAGGCCTGGCACTGTATCCACTGTACCATCTAGCTGCCCTTCTTGCAATACTATTTTTGTATAAAAACCATCCCTTTCATCATTTCTTATGGCACAAGAGTATCCCACCACATTCATATACCATAACTTGTTCAGCTATTTTCTAATTGATGAGCAATCTTTTATTTTCTAATCCTTTGTTACCCCTAAAAGAGCTGCCATAAGTATTTTTGTCTTTTTCCTTTTTCTTTGAATTCTTTAGGGTATAGACCTAGTAGTGGTCAAAGTACACAGACAGTTTAATGACTTTGGGGACATAGTTTCAAATTGCTTTCTGGAATGGTTGGACTAGTTCATATCTCCATCAACAGTGAATTATAGAAACTGCAATTCCCATAGCCCCTTCAGCATTTGTCATTTTCCTTTTTAGTCGATTTAGCTAATCTGGGGGGTATGAGATAGTACCTCAGAGTTGCTTTAATGTGCATTTCTCTAATTATTAGTGATCTAGGGCATTTTTTTTCATGTAGCTATTGATAGCTTGTGTTTCTTCTGAAAAATATATATTAATATTCTTTGACCATTTATTAATTGAGAAAAGGCTCTTATTCTTGTAAATTTGTCTCAGTTCCCTTTACATCTTAGAAATGAGACTTTGGAAATTACAAATATTTTCCCTGATTCCCTGTTTTTCTTCTAATTTTAGCTGTATTGGTTTTATTTGTAAAAAATAACTTTTTAATTTTATGTTTTCAAAATTTCTATTCTACCTACTGTGAAGAGCTCTCTCTATTTTACTCTCTCTCTTGTCTCTGTCTCTGTCTCCTTTCTCTGTCCTATTTGGTTATAAACTCTTCTTTTATTCATAGATATGACAGGTAATTTCTTCTATGCTTCTCTAATTTGCTTATGTCATTTATTTCTAAAACATGTATTCCATTCGGACCTTATCTTTTATATGATATTGGCCTACACTATACCTAGTTCTGCCAGACTATTTTCCAGTTTTCCCAACAGTTTTTGTTTAATCATGTTCCTTAGTGAATTTTTGCCCCAAGAGCTGGGATCTTTGGGTTTATAAAAAACACTAGGTTACTGTGCTGATTTGCTTTTATATATGATGTATCTAATCTATTCCACTGGTCAGTCTCGATTTCTTATCCAGTATCAAACTGTTTGGACAGTTATTACTTTGTAGTATAGTTTGAGATCAGATACTGCTAAGCATTTGTCCTTTCTCATCTTTTGTTCATTGATTTCCTTGATATTCTTGACTTTTGTTCCTCCAGACAAATTTTAAAAAAGTGTTTTTCTTGCTCTGTAAAGTGGTCCTTTTATAGTTTGATCAGTATGACACTGAATAAGTAAATTTATCTAGGCAGAATTATTACTTTTATTATATTGGCTTATAAAATATTATATGTTTTTATATTGGCCTAATTGAATATTTCTCCAATTATTTACAACTGTCTTTATTTGTATAAAGACTACTTTGTAGTTGTGTTCCTGTGTGTGTCTTAGCAGGTAGACACACACTTATTTTATACTGTCTGTAGTTATTTAAAGTAGAATTTCTTTTTCTATTTTGAAAGATGACTTTAAATGAATTGGAAAGAAAAATAGAGAAAACTGATGTTAAGAACTGAGAAAAATGCCTGAGACTGAACCCCGTTTTGACTGGGGAGATGAAGGGAACCTTGGAGTCTTCTAGGAATTTAAAGCAGGACAGCTTGATTTTAGTGTCACCCTAGAGGTAGCTAAGAAAAGAGGGGTTGAAAAAGTAGATCACTCCTTAATTGGTAATCACAGAGATTAAGTTGGTTAAAAACATAAAAACATAAAATTGGTAAAAACAAGATGAAATCTTCATGAAGATGAGAAATTCCAGTTTTACTGTGTATTCATGATACTATAGCCTTTTTTTTTAGTATTGCTTATAGAACACAATTTCTGTTACTTTATATTATGTATAGTATATGTGTTGGATTTTTTTTTCCATCTCCCCAGTCAGATGGTAAACACTTTAAGGGCAAAGATTGCCCCTCCCCCCTAGTGCTTTACATACAGTTATATTTATTTATTGAATCAATGTTTATTATTATTATTAAAGAATATTAAGTCTGGGTCAAGCAAATCAGAGTAGTGCATTGTAACTAGTTAATAAATTGTTGCTATCGTACTGCAAAATGAAGTAGTGACTTGAGTGCCAGATGTAACGTGAATTAATTAGAAGTCTTAATCTCAGAGGAGAGAATAAAACTGAATGGATTTCACCTTGATCCAGGAATATGTTCATGCAGGGCAAGACTGAACTATATAGGGAATCGTTTTCTATTTGTTTTGTTTCAGACAGCCTTGTCCACTTCCTAAGGCTGGAAGATCCTGCTTATTATATTGATTGATGCATTAGATGGTAAGCACTGTAGGAAGAACATCATGCTACATACAGATAATCTCATTTTGACCTTTATGAGACATCATTTTGCTGCATGCAAATTTATCTCAATAATTGTCTATTCAAGTTTAGTTTCAATGGTGAAACCATTCCATGATGGCTAAAAGCTTCAGCTGAGCATGTCAGGTAGTCGTGGTTTTCAAGAATAGTGCCTCTCTAAGCACAATCTAAATGTCTCCTAATTGAAGCATAATGTCTGGGCCAAACCTGTACTGCGCACGAAGAGTAACAGACTAGTTAAGCATGAAAATAAAGATGTTTATTATTGGCTCTTGTCTGAGTCATGCCTGTAGCCGGGGGACAGTGATTAATGATGACACAGATGAAAAGTGGTCTGCTAGAGCCTGTGTGTGATAACGGACTTTGAGCAGAGAAGATATGATTTGACCTTAAAAGAAAAACTCATAATAGAGAAATTAATGGTTGGGTAAGGTAAGGATTGTACAGAAGTTATTACCATATATACAAAGGGTGTGAGGGATATGTGAGCTGACTGTAATCAAGGTTTGTATTTGACCAAAGAAAAAGGGAGAGGAAGGAAGAAAAGAAGGAAGGAAGGAAGGAAGGAAGGAAGGAAGGAAGGAAGGAAGGAAGGAAGGAAGGAAGGAAGGAAGGAAGGAAGGAAGGAAGGAAGGAAGGAAGGAAGGAAAGAAGAGAAAAGTCTTAATAACAATATTTCCTCTTTTTTTGTGTGTTTTTTACTTAGGTGTTGACCCCAGTGCAGATCAAGTCAATCTGCCAGGCCATCCTAGAATCAGGGAAGCAGTATGCAACGAAAAAGAGAAAACCATTTCCTTTAATGTATTCTTATTATGGAACGGAATACTTAGGTAAGTAGAAGGCATAAAGAAAACCCAAGGGATGAAGGTCTTTGTGACTAAATATAACACTGACAGCAAACTGGAAGAGTGTAAATAGTAATCCTAAACTTCACATAATGAGAATTGTAGAGATGGTAATCATTTAAAATAAAGGCAAGGGGGCAGTTGTAGCTTAATTTCTACTTTTATTTGCCATCATGTAGCAGCAGAGGTTGAAACAGCAATTAGAAAGATTCCTCTAATGTAGATGCAGATTTTTTTTTGTCTAGATTGAGTTAGATTTTCAAACTCCTTGAAAAAATTTATTTTAACTCTTCTGTGCAGTAGGGAAGGTTGACTGCAGCTGCTTTCACTTAAGAAACATCTTCAAAATGGACAGACCAAAACTAAGAATGCTGATTGATAATGATTATAGAGATACAATCCACACCAAATGAGAGGTGATTACGTCTCTTAACTCTGAGTACCTGCAAGAATGAGCCTACAGAACACAAGAACAGAAACTTCCTGAGAGGGTATTTAGTGAGAACCTAAGCTGTTGGCTTCCCTGCATTGGTCAGTGAAACAGCAATGGATCTAGAGTCAGAGGACATACTATCTTTGTGATGTTGAATAATCAACTTAACCTTTCAGGACCTCGTTTTCTTTTTCTGTAAAATAAGGAGGTTGGACTTCTGAGTTGCCCTCTAATTATAAATTTGACTGGCCATGATTGGATATTGTATCCACTACATGGGCAACTAGGTGGCAAAGCAGATAAAGTGCTGGGCCTAGAGTAAGAAACATTCATCTTTCTGAATTCACATCTGGCCTCAGACACTTAATAACTGTGTGACTCTGGACAAGTCCCTTAACCCTGTTTACCTCAGTTTCCTCATCTGTAAAATGAGCTGAAGGAGAAAATGGCAAACCATCCTAGCGTCTTTGCCAAGAAAACTCCTAATGGGGTCATCAAGAGTTGGACATGACTGAAATGTCTGAATAACAACAAAGCAGCATCTATTACATGTATGTTCATATGTGTAGAATAAACAGCAGAAATCTAATATAGTAGATTTTTAAAATTTTATTTTATTATATAGCATGTGTCTTAACAATATGATGATTTAAAAATATATGTGGTATCCACTTAAAATCCTGTTCACTTATCACGTTTTTAAAAAATTCCTCATTTATTCCCCCGAAGAGCAATATTAATAGCAGCCCTGACCTCTCTAGGCAGGACATGGAAATACATTTTTATTTAACTTTTTTTCCTATTAGAATTTTTTCTTCTAGTGGCAGGATAAACTGACATTTTCTTACAAAACAGACTTTTCAAACTAAATCTTTAATCATACTACAACTGCCAATGAAGTATAAGAACAGTGCTTTCAAGTTTCTTGACTCTAATTTTAAAGATGATAATTTTTAATCCAGAGACCAGAAAGCTCCTTACAACTTCTTTTGAAAGCCCAGATTTTGGAAATAGGATGCTTACTTGAGTTTCCTTTTGCAGTTTTGCGGTTATTGGCACATTTTAAAAAATTGAAACAATGTTTATCCTAAAATCCTTTGATAGGGATGACTAGAAATTAGATAGAGATAAGAAAGCCAAAAAGCTTTCTAAAAGACAACAAAGCACCAGTCAAAAAGAAGTAAAGCTCCTGCCCAGACAATAAATTGTGCTAGCTGGAGCAAAGTCAAAGACATCTGAGTGGGAGGAAGAAAGCATCAAATATGAAAAGTTGCCTAAAGAACAAGCCCTAAGATTTGGGTATTGATGACAGCGCCTCCCCATTAGTGTATACCACACTAATTTGAATCTGAAAGAGGAGGAGTAAAATTTAACTTTTCTTTACTAATTTTTTTTTCTAAAGAAAATACAAATGTATAGTGCATAAACAGTATTGCTGAAGAAACTGTTTCAAATGCCTGAAGACTGTTCTAGGCCTGGTGTGGTGATTTGCATCTGTAATCCCTACTGCTCTGGGTCGTGGAGGCTGGTTCATTGCTTGAGTTCAGGACTTCTGAGCTCTAGTAGAACTAAAGCTAATTGAACGTACACACTAAGTCTGGCACCAATAAAGTGAGCCCCTCAGAGGTGAAGGGCCACCAGGCTCCTCAAGGAGAGGCAAATTAGCCCAAAGTCAGAAAAATGGAGCAGGTGCGGATCATATTGGGAAGAGGCCTGTTAGTAGCCACTGTACTTCCAGCCTAAGTGACAAGAAGAAAATAATGAGGAAACCTATGTGCTAATAGAAAATCATCCTAATTTTACATTAAAGTAGGTTCCCCAGAGACTATATTTTGTTGGCCTAATTGTAATTTTTTGGAAATAATAAACCCATCTTTAAAAAAAATTCCATAACTACCTCTTCACTAATCTAGGTCGGTCTCCCAGTTACTGCACCACAGTGAAGCTTTACTCCATTTTTCTTTCATTTATAGGTGCCGCTCATGGTCTGTCTTCCATTCTCCAGATGCTGCTCTCTTACCACGAGCATCTCCAACCTGCTGATCTGGAGCTGGTCTGGCAGAGTGTTGACTTCCTCATGGAACAGGAACAAAATTGCAATTGGCCTCCTGAGCTAGGAGAAATGATTGAGAGGGAAAACGAGCTGGTCCACTGGTGTCATGGAGCTCCAGGTTACACATTTCAATGTAGCTGAAAGTATCCCCCCACATCTGGCATAGCAGGAAGGAGAGAGATCGAGAAAGAGGGAGAGAGAGGGAGAGAGAGACACACACACACAGAGACAGAGACAGAGAGAGAAAGAGAGACACAGAGAAAGAGAGAGAGAGAGAGAGAGAGAGAGAGAGAGAGAGAGAGAGGAGAGAGAGAGAGAGAGACCACCTCTAGTGGCTTCTGGGAAGATACCATGTCATTCTGATGAGATAAAGGGCTCAGGGACACATTTTCCAGAGTCAGAAAATCCTAGGACTTCAAGGAGCCTGCAGAAGGGATAGAGTTCAGCTTGGCAGATTGTCTACAAGGATCACAGGGCCCTGAAAAAATATTTTAGATGTGCTTCATTTGCATTGGCCTGTCCTTATTTAAGTACATGAAAAGATACCATCGAAGTAGTCAACTATTCCTAACCAATAAAGATTTGAGAATTATACATGGGTTTTAGTTCTTAGGTGCTCTCTCTGGAGTCTTCCATATGCATAGGTGATTGAGAATTGGTTACATTATTCAGATCAAGAAGAATTATACCAGATCATAACATAGTGAACAATTAACACTGTAGCTAGGTGGTACAGTGGATAGAGCTCTAGGCCTGGAGTCAGGAGACCTGAATTTAGTTTAGTCTCAGGTATTTACTAGTTGTGTGACTCTGGGCAAGTCACTTAAGCCCTATTTGCCTCAGTTTCTCCATCTGAAAAATGAAGATGATAATAATAATAATAATAATAATGCTACCTCCCAGGGTTGTTGTGAGGATGAAATGAGGACTTTTTGTAAAGTGCTTAGCACAGTACCTGGCACATAATAAGTGCTATATGAATGTTAGCTATTATTATTACCAGCTATTATTAATTTCTCACCTGGCCATTCTCACCTCTCCTTATTACTAGGATTTGTTGCCTTCTTAGAGAGGCAACATCACTGTTGGGGTTGAAATGCAGCTTCCTATTAGAAGTCAAGGAAAGGGGAAACAAAAAGAAAAGTAGCCTGTGATTTACTTCTTGTTATTCAGGGTTTGATTTGTTTTCCTTCTTGGTGGACCATTTGCCTAACCCACTGGCCTCCATTTCATTACTTGTTAGTATCTGTAGTTGAGGGAACTCAGGGAAATTTTTTATAAATTCCTCAAACCAGTCAGTTTTGCTAGTTGTTAGTTTCAGTGGGAAAAAAAACTCAACAGGGAAAATATTTAAGTATGGGCTAATGTGAGATTTGGGAGTTATGCAGGGTTTTAATTTTTAAGTGCTCTCTCTTCAATTCTTCATAAGCACAGGCAATTGAAAATTGGTTATATTATTCAGTTTTGCCTTGGCTTGCCTGATTTCAGTAGGCAATTTATTTCCCAGTTTAAATCTACTCTGAGATCTCAGATGTTTACATTTTAATAGCTGGTTGAACCCTCTGTCTATAGGCAACATTGCACCTAGCCATTCCAGATGTTCTATCTTATACTTACATCCCTATAAGGTAAGGAATTTTAAAACAGCCACATTCACCTGCTTTACTGCCATGGTATTGTTTCTGTTAAAGTCTGTCTTCTACAACTTCTTGATCTGTCCTTACTGATGAGGAGCAGTTGACAATTTTGGATGGTGTTCTGGGCTAAGCCTGACTCAGGCCAGGCCTTGGTAGTTTGAGGTTCAGTGCTGGAACAAAATGATATATTTGTTGGTTATTTAACAGTTAACAAAAAGAGATTTGCTTAGCCAGAGCAGAAGGAAAATCAACAAGAATGGGCTTGGAGGACACCTTGAATTAATTCAGCTGAGTGAAATTACCTTCCCTCAGTTATCCATTGTGATGCACCAACCAAGTGGCAGAGCACCCCCAGACTTTCTTGCAGCTGTTTGGTACTCAGGTAACCAGGAAGTGATGTCAATAGCCTGTACCTTTAATCCACTTGAGCCAACCAGCACTCAAGGATGGCATCAATATATTGTTTTTAATTTAATTTTTAATTTTTGGAGTAAAACAAGCCTTTCCATAACATAATACAAAATAAAGATGATTGCACATGAAACTGCTAATCTACCATGCACAACTTACTATTCCTTTCAAATATACAATGAAATTATCATATAAATTCCTTTTTTTTCTTTCCCTCCCCCACCCCAGAAATGGCTACCATTAGACTCAAAAAGGCATATATATATGTGTGTGTGTATATATATGCACATGTAAAATTAAATATTTATATATACACATATATATGTAAAATTATTATACTTGATACTTTTAAAAGAACAATTAGCATAACTTACATGGAGGAGGGCTTAGGATATTGGATATTGCTCTTAGCACAAATGGTATCATTTTAGATAATTAAAGACTGGGTATGTGCCATCGTGTGTAGAATATGAATTCCTATTTCTCTTACCTTTCCTAATAGACCTCATATTCCACGTATAGAATCAGAGAATTCCATCCTCATTTTTCCAGTTAGGTTTAACCAAAGTTAATGAATCAGTGAAGTCAAATGACTTGTGGAATTTAACACAACTAATTAATGGGAAACCTTTGCTCTCACTATTTGATTTACCTTTTTTTTGGGGGGGGAGCCTCATACTTGTCCATTTTATTTGATGAAGCTCTTAACTAAACAAACTTTAATGGATCTGTAATTGCACTGATGTTGGTGCTCCCTCCAGTGTGTACTCTTAAAAACCCATCTCTGTCTTCTCATTCTGTGCAATTGTTGCCCTTATTTTTCCAGACTCTTCTTAATGGATCTACACAATGGACTAACAGCTTTCCTCTAGGTCTTTAAACATTCCATGTGTGACAATGCATCACAAAGATTATCCTCCTGTTACCCCTTGTTCTTACTATGTGATAAGTCCACATCTTTTCCCAATAAGATATTTCCTGGATTGTATCTTTTATGCTGCTTTTTATGCATACATCCAATATTGCTAACTTGCCAAGGACTAGTTATGCCTACTAAACATCTCTCTGCTGCCTTTTTGTCAACCATCACTTTGGAGATTTTGCTGCCGCATGATTTATAGTCATATAATATCACTGGAAGAAATATTGGTGTTAAAGAGAATTTTTTTTAATGTCATCAAACAGTTTGTTTCAGAGCAATCTCTCGAATTCAATTTAGGACCATTAGGGTTTATGTTCCCCTACTATAGCCTTGCAAGTCACTACCACACCTTGCTGTGGTATTAAAGTAGGACCTTAGTGGAGGAAACCGAGCCTAAATGCCGCACAAGTCGATAAATGTCCTGAAAATCATTTTCCTCAATTGAGGCAATGTCAGGCAATCAGCATAGTTGTTTGTTTGGGGGAGCATCATTCCATTCTAATATTGGCTCCATTGGTACTTATCCTTATAATCCCCCTTTAATAATATTACTACATAGTCTAAAGTTTCCCGAAGCACTATAGCTGCAGATTACATTAATGTTTAAATTACATTAGGACTAATAAATGTTCTGATGGGATCTGGGATACTCTCAGGTTGAAGGGGACAGTTGAAGAATTAGAAAAGCCCCACAAAAAGAACTAAACCTGCTTTTAATACCCAAACTTGCCATATGAAAGTCTTTTTTATAATGTATGATTTCGTACATAACATTTTGTAGAGGAAATATCATGAACATGGAAAGCTTCTTATTAAAAAAACATATTTCAACTAAGATCATAGAATTCAGAGAGGAATCTAGAGATCATCTTGTGTCATGAAATCAGGAAATCTCTGAGTTAGAAGAGACCTCTGAGGTCATCTTATGCTTATCCAGCTTCAATGCTTATCCAAACAGGAGCCCCATGTACTAAGAATTTATCCTCCAGCTTCTCCTTGAAAGTCTGCAGTGACATCCCTCTATCTCTTCGGGCAGTGCTTTCCATTTTTCAAGAGCTCTAAGTGTTAGGAAGCCCTTCCTTATATTGAATCTAAATCACCCTCTTGGCAACTTTTACCCGTTGCTCCTAGGTCTTCTCTCTGGGGCCAAGAGGAGTAACATCATTTCCACATGAAGACAGTTGTCATGTCCCCTTTAAGTCTTCTCTTCTCCAGATATGACACAGTTCTATCACTCTTCTATTTGCTATCTTCTAGACTGGCTTGTGAGTAACTTTTCTAAAAAGGTGCCATCCAGAAAGCAACGGTCCAGATTTGGTCTCACCAGAGGAGAGTAAAATTGGACTGCTACTTCTTCTTTTTTGTGTACCATGTTTCTATTAGTGAGTCAATGAGTCAATAAACATTTATTAATCATTTACTATGGGCTGGGCACTGTGCAAAGTGCTGGGGATACAAAAAGAGGCAACATTAATGCAGCCTAATATTAAGGTAGTTTTATATAATTGTAATTGATGCTCATAAACCATAACTCTTAGTGATAGCTAAACTGAAGAAAAATTAAATTATATTCCATGTGATTTTAGTGTAGTTTAATCTAGTAGCTTGAAAATTGGCAATAGTATATATCACAGCTCTCAGTTAACCAGAATATACAACTAAACTGAATAATTCAATTCTCAACCATTTCTGAATAGAGGATCACCATAGTTGTCATAAATTTCAATTCAGGTAAATTATGTTCTAGTCCTGACTTTGCAAATAATATGTACACTGAGGAAACAAATAAATCCTTTATATGAATCTATACAATTAGGTAATAAGGCTGGTTTTCCTCAGGAGGAACTTTTGATACACAGAATTTTGATTGAGTGACAGCATGCAATGATGTATGAGTCATGGTGATGCAAGCCTTTTAGTCCATATTTGTTAGGTGAGGGACCTTTCTTGGATTTACTATAGTAATAACTTGTATTTCCCACATTACTCTTATATATCTTTGTTAGATCAACAATAATCTCTACTCACCCCAGGTTCTAGCAGTATAATCCTTTATTCTATAGATGCAAAAATTGGGGCCCAGAAAGGCCACATGGGGAAATCTGCAAGACCACCTACTTTAATATCAGGTCCTCTGGCTTCAATTTCAGAGTTCATACCGTATCATGCTACACAGAAAATGAAATTTTGCAAAGGATAGCCTGGGAAACCCTGTTATGGACATTTCTTTTTCTTTCTACATTCTTACTGTTCAGTGTCTTTAATAAAATTGCAACATATGCTATAGCTCAGAATCATTGCATCCATTTATCCACTAAACTATAAAATCAGACCTTTTCAGAAAAAAAAAAGTGAGAAACCAAAGTGTTCAACATATCATTATTTATGCTTAGACTGTTGTTGCTAATGGTTACAGAAGCATCTGAGAGAAGTGCTCCTGACAGCTAAGGAACTGTCCATTTATATCAGAAACTGGTAGAGTGAACCTTCAATTGATGATAATAATAGAGAGTTAAATGGACAGTCTTAAACTAGGAGATCATTGTCTGCATTTGCCTTTGAAATACATTTTTGGAATGTTTTTAAAGCAGAATTTCTTTTCTGATTGTGTTTTGTTTAGATGGTATTAAAGTTTGTTTAGCTCCTCTGAGCTAACAGGAAATAAAAGTGATGATCCAGCCCAGAATCATATTGAATTGGCAACAAGTCTGAGATGAAAGCAATAATCTCAGCAAGCCAGAGATTAAACATTGTCCTCCAGTAATCCAGATGGGTTTCTTAATAGTTTCACCTTGGCCCCCTTTCAACCACATCTACATGTAACAGCAATGATAATGCTTCTTAAGTGAAATTGACCTCACTAAGCACTGTGATGTCTTATTTAAAATAAATTTATTTGCGATGCTTTTTTTGTACCACAGTAATTTCCTAACATACCCCTCTCCAATTGAACCCTCACAAAAACAGTTCAGAAAAACTGACCGACAAAATGACCGTGTCTGACAGCATATGTAACATTATGACTCAGTAATCCTTCACCTCTTTCCTGAGAGCAGAGATATTTTCTCTGAGACCAAGACTGGTCATCACAATTAATCTTAGTTAAGTTTCCTTTTTATGTTGTCTTTATTTACATTTTTGTAGTCATTATGTGTGTGACTTTTCTGGTTCTGCTTGCTTCACTCTGTACCAGTTTATATCATTACAAGTTTTTCCAAATTCCCCTTGTCATTTCTTACATCTGCTGCCTTAAAATAATGGCTGGTGTGGAATAATTGTAGCACTCTGCCCCTCATCCCAAGCCTTTTTCCACAGCCACCACCAACCAATCCTTCCAGTCAAATCCGATAAACCAATGTAATAAACACTTATTAAGTGCCTTCTGTTTGCCAAGCACTGTGCTAAGTTCTGGGTATACACTTAATAAAAAAGAAAGACAGTCTTTGCCTTTTAGGATTTTATTACATAAAGGGAAAGACAATACAAAAGGAGACCAGTATGGTAGGGGACAGGACACCAAGGGTGTCCTGTATGAGGGCATCTTGTTCTGTGGAGTGGAAACCAGGCAGGACAGCAGATACAGAGTGGAATGAGCTGAGTCCAGTTTCTGCCCTCCATAAAGGAAGGCATTCGGAAGAGTTTGGTACTCTGTCCTCCAGTCAGAGATGAGAGGAGGCTGAGGATGGTGGTGTCAATCAAGATTTGAGTTAGGGGCATGGTGATGAGATTAGAAGTAATGAGCTTATCCTGGGAGGGACATCTTGTGTCCTGGAGTTAAAGTCAGGCAGGGCAGCAGATACAAAGTGGAATGAGCAGGTTCTGCTGTCTGTAAAGGAAGGCATTGGGAGGAGTTTAGTACTCTGCCTTCCAGCCCTGCCCAGTCCCTGCCCCTACTCCTAGTCCAGTTTATGAAACTCCTGGGGTGTGGCTTCAGAGAAATGCTTTTTTCCTTCATGGAATCCCAGACAAAATGCAGCATAGAAAGCAAAGATTATTTCAGGCTACCCTCCAGAGCTATTCCCTTTCTTCCCCTCCATGCTCCTTTCCACCCTTTTCCTCTTAATATGTGAAAAGCTTTATCTCCCCATTATTACTTCACCCTCTTCCAGCCTTTCACACCTGGCTTGTTTCTAAGCCACAGCAGGGAGGAAGTACACAGTGAAAAATCAGTGTGCAGATTTACAGTATGACAGGTAGTTGCACCCAGGACTAAATTTAACCTACTGTAGGAGATCCCTGCCCACTGACTAATTTCTCCTCCAAGCACAACGCTTAGGTGGAAGCTTTTTGTAGTCCAAAGTTCTGACGGGCCAACTAGATAAGGACACTTCCTTCTTCTGGGACCTGTACACTGTGCCTGCTTTGCACAGCATTCTGACCCGTGCATATCAATAGATATGCTAACGTTGGGCTGTCCTTTCTCTTTCCTGGCCACTACAGTCAGAGTGTTTCTCCTCCAGGATGTGCTGCCAAGAGATAAAGTGACAACAAAACCAGACTTACTGTTCAAGAGAGGATCTAAGATCAGAGCCTTCCTAGTTGTCAACACTAAATTTGCTAAGTTTGTCAAATATGGAAAATATCTTTAAAACACCTTCTCATTCCCCATTTTTTAAACATCAAAATCTGTATGTAGTACTTCCCCCAGTCTCATTCAATTTATTTTTGAGAAATGTGGTAAAACTACAATTATGAATTTCTAAAATAATGAAAGTATAGGTACTTTATTAAATCCTATTACTACATCCATTCCTATATGAAAGAGAATTTTGCACTCATATTTTGTATCAAAAAATCCAGATTTCACCAAAGGCTTTTGTTTTGTACTAATACTTAAAATCAATATACAAAGTTTGTATAATCCTCAGCCCCACTTGCTGTGGGTCTGATGTCTTCTGATGCTTCAGGGCAGTCCACAGGGATAGAGGGAAGAACCCAAAAGAGCCTGTTATCCAGAAAGAATAAATCAGAGGTCATCAATAGGGTGAAAGTAGATGCTAGGAGCAATTCTAAAAGCTGAGGAATTAATGCAGTTTTAAGGGCAGCATACTACAAAAAAGAGAAATCAGTACTTGCAAGATGGCCGCATTAACTTCCTTCCTCAAAACAGTTTATGGCAGGGCTATGATAACTATGTCTGCTCTCACTCCCCTAGGATTGTAGGCTGATGTGTGAGCTGTAGCACCAAAGTGGGACCGAAGGCTATTTAAAGTTGAGGTTCTAAAAAATTACTAAATTCGGCATACCCTTTGACCTCTGTATACTAGTCCTATATCCCAAAGAGATCAAAGAATGAAGAAAAGTACTTATATGTACAAAAGTATTTATCACAGTTGTTTTTTGTCATGGTAAAGAAATAAAAATTAAGGGAGCACCCCTAAACTGGGAAATAGCTGAATAAATCATGGAATATGAATGGAATAGAATATTATTGTGGCATAAGAAATTATGAAGAGGATAGTTTCAGAGAGACCTGGGAAGGCTTGTATGAAGACAAAGTAAAGTGAGCAGAAGCAGGAGAATAATTCATACAGTTAGAACAATATTTTAAAGACAAACAACTCTGAAAGACTAAAAACTCTGGTCAATGCAATAACCACCCACAATTCCAGAGGTCTATGGGGAGAAACATGCTATCCATCTCTTGATAAGATATGATGGACTCAAAAAAGAGACATTTTTTAATATGGTCAATGCAGGAATTTGATTTGTATGAGTAAGCATATTTTATAAGGGTTTTTTTTTCCTTTTGGGAACCCAGAAGAGGAAAAATTGATTTTTATTAACTTAAAAAAAGAAATTTTAAAAAATGAAACTTTCAAAAAATAATGAGTTAACTTTTTTTTGTCATGAATCTTTTGGCAATCTGGTAAAGCCTATGAATACTCTCATTTTTAGAGAACAGGACATCTAACTAGGAAAAGCTGAGTTCAAGTCTTGCCAGCACACATAATAGGAGTGTGACCCCAGGCTAGTTATAATCTCTCAGTATTAAATGAAACTCCTTCATGCTCTAAATTGCAAGAGAAAGCACCATCTTATACTGTACATATAGGAAGTTCCTTTCCAGGCATTCCCTATACCAGTGAAATCACAGGTCTAGTTTTTATGGCAGTCCCTTTCCCATCACCAGTTATTATTATTATTTTTGCCCTCTGAAATGTGGGGCCTGGGTTCAAATCCCAGTTCTGCAGCTTTCTCACCAAATGTCCAAGCCCTGTCTCTGGGTTTCATTTTCTTTATTGTTAAAATGAGGTGGCTAACCTGAGTGGTCTCCAAGTTCTTCTGGTTCTAATCCTGTAATCTTTAGTTTAGAAGCTAGACAGCTGCTTTTCATATGAGCCCCTGTGCCTTCAGTCCCAGCTACTTGTTATCTTGGTTTATTTCTTGTCTTGCTTTTGTACTTGCTGTTTTTATTGATTGAATGGATTTATGTTGAAATCAATGTCTCCTGTCTTAAACAATGCAGGAGGACCATGAGAAGGGGGAGAGGAGGAGCAGTTCCACAGTTGCCAGGTTCAGACCTGTGAAGGAGCTACGGTCTTGTTAGGTTTTAGTGGTTCTTCTGATTTTAATTTAACCAATGTTGTGTAATAGCAGTATTTAAACATTATGCATTTTTACATTCTGTGTGAGAAAGCTAAGCTGTGCAAACATTTAATCACTGCAAATACTCATATTTGCCACAAATTATTTATCTGTGTCCATAGGAAATATCAGTCCACTTGTAAGGATAAAGGCATTATCCCAATCTAATATTTCTAGTCCTACTTTCCCCAAAGGGTACCCAAGTACAATCATAACAATTTGAAATAAATCTCAGAGAAGGTAGATCTCATTTATAAATGAAAAGTATGTTCTCTTGGTTGAGTGAAAGATGCCAACTTGAATATCTTTGACATGTTTACAGGAATCGCCTACCTATTTGCCAAAGCGTACCTGGTTTCCAAGAAACCTCAGTATCTGGACACATGTATCCGGTGTGGGGAGCTCACGTGGCGAAAAGGCCTGTTGAAGAAAGGACCTGGGATCTGCCACGGTGTGGCTGGCAGTGCCTACGTATTCCTCCTGTTATACAGGCTGACTGGAAACTCCAAATACATCTACAGAGCGCAAAGGTGAGCAGTGTCTCCAGAGAATTACACCTTTTTCCAATGATGTCTGTCCCATTTTAGAACTGTAAGGCCACAGCTTTCCTGCTTTAAGAAATAGAAAGAGGATTAGTGATGCTGAGGGCTCGTATCAGCTCAGATTCCTAAGTGCATGCTTCGTCTAGTTGTATCATTCATCTGCTCTACACCTGAATGAGGAAAGATGATGGTCATCCTGTCTGATCTGATGTTGAGGGGTAGAAGCGATTTAGGGAATAAAAGGGTCAGACCAACAAGCAATCTGGTACTATATTTTCTCTTTTGAATGGACTTGGGAAAAAAGGTTAATTGTTTTTTCTACCAAACTTTAGGAATATACCCTAAAACTTGCCATTATAAATGTTTAAAGGTCTATGAATTTGTCAAATTCTTTTGAACTCATTCATGTTTTCATCCCTATTATCTTTCCTAGCAAAACATCCATATGTTCATTACCCTTGCTGTAAAGTAGTGTTTCCAGACTTGCTCTAGTCCACTTAGAGAGTAGCAGAATTGGGAAGGTAGAATAGGAAATTTGGAAAGTAACCAAAAGTTTAGTATCTGAGCCCCAAATTATGCCAACTAAACCATACCACCCCTCTTTTTGTGCAGACTCTGGATCCTTCTATCCTATGAGCTAAAAGAGATCCCTTCTTTACTTACAAGACATACAAGTATTATGGTTTTGTCTCATTTATATATTTTCCCATTATCCACTATCATTGATCATGATCATCAGGTGATAAGTATAGAAACATCTCATCTGACCAGAACTGAGCCATTTGGTGATATCTACCACATAGCCGAGAACTGGGAAATAAGCAGAAAAAAGCATGTGAGCATTCAAAGTAGATATTCCAAATTCGATGTTCTAAAGCACAAGTATTTTTCTCAAATCAGAAGGAAACTTCTGATTCTTACTCTGAGGCAGGTAGGTAGTTCAATGGATAGAATGCTGGCCCTGGAGTCAGGGAGAAAAGTTTAGATCCAACCTCAGACTTTTTTTTTTTTCCTTTTTGGTAAGGCAATTGGGGTTGTGACTTGCCCAGGTCACACAGCTAGTAAGTGTTAAGTGTCTGAGGCTGGATTTGAACTCAGGTCCTCCTGACTCTAGGGCCAGAGCTCTATTCACTGTGCACCTAGCTGCCCTTCAGACATTTTATTAGCTGTGTGACCTTGGGCAAGTCACTTAACCTCTTTCTGTCTCAGTTTCTTTATCTATGACAGGGCTATAATAATAACACCTACCTCCCAAGGTTGTTGTGAGTACAAAATGAAAGAGTATTTGTTAATTGCTTTGCAAATTTTGAAGTGCTATATAAATGATAGCCATTATTATTTGACACATTTATACTGAGGTCCATTATCTGTTCTGTAGACCCAAGCTTATCCCACCTACCAAAATAGGAGAGAGGATAGGTGGAAGGTAGAAAGACTACTTTAAGGCAAGGCAGCTAAGAAGCCCATTGAGCTATAGGAGGCCTGCCTAGACCACATGGTGGCAACTTATGGCCCAGATGTCATTTTTTCAAGATATCTTTTTGTACTTCAGAAATCTATTATTTCATTAGTGTGGGTATGACTTCCAATGATGCATTGTCAACCCTCTATAACTTGATGGGCAATCATTGAGAAATTTTGTGGCTGAAAAATTTGTCACTCTATAGCCAACCTGGCCTTTATGAACTTAGCTTGACTGGTCCTCAGAGAAGTCATATATCCTATAACCAAGCCCTTCTTTGAAGTCTTAAACTTGTGCTATGTTTTGAAAGCCCAAGCTTACCTATGAACCAGTAAGAGGCATTAGAGTGAGACTCAGAGGAAGTTTAAGGATATCACACTAATAAATGTTCTTGGGAGGAATGAAGTACTCTCTTCTATGTAATTTTGCATAACTGTTAGGCATGGGTACTGATTCTGTAACGGGTAGGGCAATTGGAGCTTTATTCCAGGATGCTGAATTGGAAATATGCCACATTTATAAGGTTCTGGTAACACTTTAGTCTTTCAGCAGAACAGAAATGACAGCACTTAGAAGCTAGTTAGCAACAACAATTAATTAAAATAGGAAGCTACTAGCCAGGCAGGAAGGAAGGAGTAAGATCCTCCTCCACTCCACTTCCCTGCCTGCCTCTTGCCTCAGAAGTGGTTTGTGATATTTGTTCCAGGTATAAAAATTCCTAGTTGTGACTCTGACGGACACCTAATGGTAGCATTTATTAAGCCCTGAAGTATGGTATACAATGTCATATGGCAAAAGAATTGTGGCCTTATCTCAACATAGTAAAACAACCACCTTGAATATGTTTGTGATCTTAGGTCTTGAAGTTACTTTCAGGGTCACCAATGTATTCAGTTTTCACGATGGTTCACATAGATCTGTTCCCACTGAGATTTGTGAGAAAGATGTCATTGTGATGATGGAATCTCTCCTGGCTCATGGCACAATAGGATCCATGATTGGAAAGTAAATGACCATGACCTTCTGAGAAAATTAAGTCATAATTCCATTTTCCTTTGGAAAAGGTTGTTAGAACATTGCCTAGGAATGCTTGTCATATGGAACCACAGGTTAACCTAAAGGTAGGGTCTGATGGAGAATGTGCTGCTGCCCAATAGTCTTAGTCTTTATCTATAAATAGCACTTGCTTTCTCTTCTAGCCAAAAACTCTGAGAGTCTTTCCTTCCCAGACTGATTCTTTTGTGATGGCAAAGTAGGCCATCTTTTGTCTCAATTCTTACCTAGTCCTTAATCACTGAATGGGTGTTGTCTCAGACAAACTGAGAACTGGGAAAGACCTTAGCTTAAAAAGGCCAAGGTCTCACACTGAATCCAGGGCCATCTCCAGTCATCCTGATCTATATCTTGCCACTGGACCTAGATGGCTTCAGAGGAGAAAGTGAGGCTGGTGACTTTGCACAACCCTCCCTCACTTAAGTCCAATTCACTTGCAAGTCATGGCATCATCTTCCTGATGTCATGGTCCTCTTTGAGAACAAAGGACAAACAATACCACCTAGCCCTTAATCACTGAATGGGCATTGCCTCAGACAAACTAAAACCTGGGAAAGACGTTAGCTTTGAAAAGGCCAAGGTCTCCCTCTGCATATTGGGTTATCACCAGTCATCTTGATTTATGTCTTACCGCTGGACTCAGATGTCTCTGGAGGAGAGAATGAGGCTATTGACTTTGTAAAGCTCTGCTTCGCTTAAATACAATGGACTTATAAGTCAAGACATCACCCTAGTGATGTTATTGGTCCTCTTTGAGAAGGAATAATGAACAACAACAATAGGAGACATAAAAACTAGACACAATAACTCAAAAAGCAGAGGACTCTGGGACCATTTGATAAGTAGTCCTAGACTTCTATAAGTCCTGAAAGCAGCAGTGTAAGATAGTTTAATAATGGATGTTCATAGGAATGATCCTGAACCATCCTGAAAAGTTGAAATTGTATTCAATATCAGCTTTAAGTCAGAGAATTATGTAATACATATATTTCCATCTCAAATAGCTAGGAAAAAAAAACTAGCCACAAAAACACTTCTTGGTGAATAATATCCCTCAGCTATTCAGAACAGTCTATAAACTCAGAAATATGGGCCCCCAAATCATAGATAAAGATCCCAGCAGGCTGCATATTGATTTGGAAAATCGCATGTTGGTCAGTTGTTTTTCAGTCTTGTCCAACTCTTTGTAACCCCATTTGGGGTTTTCTTGGCAAAGATACTGATAAGAACTACATTTTTATGTGGTTTAGGTCACACTCAGGAGTGTTGCGGGCCACATGGTTGATAACTCTGATCTAGAAAATTCAGCTCCTCAGAATTATGTCCCCCTCCCCCAAAGAGTGTCAAATAACCAAGGTTTTACTGCATTAGGCATCCCTGGGTTTTATAGCACTTGTTTGGGGGGAACCTTTCATTTAGACTGAAAAATTAGCTCCATCTCATACTCATTTAACACCTAATATGCAGGAAGACACTGTCAGAAAAGCTTCCCATCACAGCAGTCAGATTTTGTCCTTTGGGTCCTCACTAACAGCTGCCCTGTGGCTACTATTTCATGTTGGTCAATCAAATGTTGTCTGCACATAGTACAATAGTAGGTAGCACACAGAAATGAATTAAAGTGACAAGATCCTTTCTTATCTAAAGGTCACACAGACAGGAAGAGATTTCAAAAAAGATCTTATACCCAGAGCTGGAGTGTGGAAAAGGAATGTTCCATTATAAGGAAAGTGGAAAAGAAATAAAAAAAGGCAGAGGGATTTCTGTTTTAAGGTTTTTTTTTCAACTTATATAATTGTACTATTGGATTCTTATAATTAGTAGGAGCAACTAGTTAAAGAAGAATGATATTTGAGGATGAATGTTTCAGAAACCAAAGTAAAGCAGATGTTGCAATGCGTAGTGTTTGTCAGTGTTCTTTTAGGTAGAAGCTGAAAGGTCAAAGGGGAGTGGTCTGTGGACTCTCTCTGCTGTTTTGATGGCACAGCTCCAAGTCTTGCCCAGTTTCTTCTCAAGGTTTTCCTAATCTGTATTCAAGGTTTTCCCCCCCAAAATGGCAGAAGGGCCTTCCCTACCGCTGAGCTGTAGATGTCTTTCCCAGGTGCTAGTGAAGAAACAACAAAAACCCCTATTAGCTTACTAATCCTATTAGCTCCCCCTCTACTCAAATGCCTCAGTGGTACATAAGGTACAACTTGCTCTTTGTTTATTTTCTCCCGGTGCCAATTCTCCTGGTTTTTGGAAACATCACTTTTAAAAGAGTTTTACCATATATATATATATATACAATGACTTAAGCGCGCACACACACACACACACACACAAATGGAATGTTATGTGAACACACCTGGGTCCCAAAGAATTGGAAAAGTGAACCTCCTTTTCTTCATTGCCGAGATGGAGACCTATGGATGCAGAACATTGCATATATTTTCTGCTAATCATGTGTTGGCTATTTTGCCTGTTTTTATTT